CTTTGATTGTTTAAATTATTATATATTCCTGAGTGTTTTTGTGAACATCCTCCCCCTTAAAAAAAACAAACCAAAAAACCCCAGGGGAATAGAAGCAAATACTGTTGAATGATGATGCACAGAGGAGACTGTAATCATTGCAATGAAACAATGGTATAAAACCAATGTTCTCCCATGTAAACAAACTTATCACTCAATTTACAGTAAAAACTTAAAAAAAAAAAAAAATTAGCTTCAAACATTTAATTAACTCACTTCGAATATGATAGCTAGAGAGTCCTGGTGTGGCGCTGTGGGTTAATATGCCAGACTGCAAGCTGTTTGAACTGCAAGGTCAGCGGTTCAAGCTCACCAGTCAGTCACTCCTTGGAAACCCTACACAGGGTCTCTATGGGTCGGAACCGACTCCAAGGAAAATAACAACAACAACAACTTGATGGCTAGAACTGAGGTTGCATTGGCAGGGCCAGACCAAAATGATTTTGTGGGCAGGCCTCATATAGCCCACGGGCCAGATGTTTCCCACTCTTTGGCTAGAGTAGTGAGGGAAAATTTGATGTAGCTGTGACCACTAGAACAGTCCTAAAGTGAGTACTGATGGCATGGTGGGTGTCCATCTCTACCCAAGTCTTCAGAAGCCCTTTCCTGGTCGGTATTTTTATATTTTTTGTTGTTAGGTGCTGTCGAGTTGATTCCAACTCACAGCGACCCTGTATAGGGTTTCTGAAGCTATAAATCTTTATGAGAATCAAGGGAGAAGAGCAGAAAGCGGGACCCTACCCAGAGAAGCAGTGACACCAGAGATGGAGGCAGAGATAATGACATGGAGAGATGGAGCAGCTGGGTACTTTAGACCCAGAGACGGAGAGGGTCTGTGTGCTGACAACCGGGGAGCAGGCTTGGTTGGTTGATGATACATGGAGGGAAATGTAACCACGGCAATGAAACAATATACGATAGGATGAATGTAAAGCTAATGTTCTCCCATGTAAACTATCACGTAATTCACAATAAAACATTTAAAAAAAATCTTTATGGGAGCAAAATCTCATCATTCCCCCCTGGAGAAACTGGTGGTTTTGAATTGCTGACTTTGTAGTTTGCGTTAAGTCCAGAGCTCATCCTACAGTGACACCAGGGCTCCTGGTTTTTTGTTTGTTTGTTTAATATTTAGAGAAAGAGATTAAGAGTACTCACTGGCTTTGGAGTCAAATAGATTTGGGATTGAAACTTAGTATTTCCACTAATTAGTTATATAGCCATAGGAGAGTTTCTTAATTTCTCTAAAATGAGAACAATAATACAGCTCTCAAGGATGGGGGAAGGAGTAAAAGAAAACATGACAAGAGTTAAACAGAGCCCATATTCCACAGAGAGTAGATATATGCTCTGTTTCACTAATCTTATAATGCATTACATACTCTCTTGTCCTGCTCTGGCTTTTCATGTGTATGACTCATCTTCATGAATCCACTACAACCTCTGAAGGCAGGCACAGTATCATCTTTTTCTCTGATTGAATCCAGAGGGCTACTCACTTGCTTACACAGTGTGACTTCAGTAAGTCATGAAGACAAGTACAGTGTTGTCTGGAGTTTAATCCAGATGCTAAAAGGTGAGCTTACCTTGAATAGCTGGACCCCAAGCAAAGAGATAATACCAGCTCAAATGCAAATCAACAATAGTTTCATCTCTGGGAACATTCACAGGGCGTTTGAATCTACAGGTGACACGATTGTTCTCAAACACTCCTTCTTCATCTCTGGCGGGATTTCGCTGAATCTCCTTTGCCCACTGACCCACATTATAGAAGTGCTGGATACGGACCCTGCCGTTGTCATCATGCACACAGGCCATCACATCATCACCGCCCTAAAGTTGAACAAGATTGAGAAGAAAAGGTCAAAGGTTTGTCTTTGCAAATTTTCTACTAGAAAAAAAATCTTATTCAGAAACACACATGCCCTTAACTTTGGATTTTGAGATCCCCAACATTCTTGTTCTTTCTTTTAAATGTTATTTTGTTGCTGTTGAGAAGCTACACAACAAAACAGGTACCAATTCAGTGATTTCTATGTGTACAACTCAGTGATGCTGATTACATTCTTCGAGATGTACAGCCATGCTCACCCTCCTTCCCTGAGCCTTTGCTCCCCCATTTAACATAAAATCACTAAGGTCCCCCCCTAAGGTGCCCATCTTAATCTTTCAAGTTGCAGTTGCCAGTTTGGTCCATACAATTTTTTCTTTTTTCACATTTTGATATTTCTGTTTAATAAAGGTTTCTATAATTTTTTAGCAATCCATTAAAATTAATTTTGTAAAGCATATTTTGACATTAAAAAAAAAATCCTTGAATACTTTTCATTGTGAATTGAGTGAAGATTTACAGAGCAGATCATCAGTTTTACATTCAAGAAGTCATATAGTTTGCTTCATTACAAATAATTGCAATCCCTTCCATGTACCAATGGTTAACACCATTTACCTCTATTCACTTTAACCCTTGTACTGCTCTGTCTCCTGCTACCTTCACCTTTCCTCTCCAACCTCCCTCTTATCGCACATTGCCTGTCCTATGCCCCATGTTAACATGTGTCTACCTCTAACCCATGAGTAATCTACAGCCACCAGATGGACCTCCCAGTAACCATCACAGAATGTCTCATTTAGCAAGGAAATAATTTCTTAACTTTTCACAACAGTGGTCTCATATATTTATACTTTCAAGATTGACTTATTTCACTCAGCATAATGTCCCCCAGGTTCATCCATGTTAAGAGGTGTTTTGCAGATTCGTCCTTATTCAGTGTTGCACAATATTCCATTGCATGTATGTATCAAAGTTTAACCATTTTACTATTGTTGGGCATTTAGGCTGTCTCCATCCTTTTGCTATTATGAATAGTGTTGCAATGAACATGGGTGTACATATATCTATTCATGTCACAGCTCTTATTTCTTGTGGATATATGCCAAGTAGAGGAAATGCTGGGTCATATAATTTTTCTATTTCCAACTTTTTGAGAAAGCACCATACCATTTTCCACAGGGTTGTACCATTTTATAGTCCCACCAAAAATGTGGTAGTTTTTAAAAGAGCATAATGCTCAAGGTGGACATTTTTTAACTAGTCAAGCTAAACTTTGGAGTCCTGGTGAGGCACTGTAAAATAAGCTAATGGCATACTCAGTGGTTCAAACCCACCAGCAGCTCCTAGAAAACCCTATACAGGGTTGTTGAGTCAGAATGGACTTGACAGCACTTAACAACATTAACAACAACAAGCTAAACTTTGGTTTTAAGAAGAGTTTATGGATTATTTTTGGCTCAAGGTTTAAATAGTTTGTCTGGATTTTAGGAGTTCATTCAGCTTCCAGAATTCCATGGAGTCTGGATTCCACAAGAATTTTAAATTCTGTGTATTTTCTCCATTTTTACCAGGATTCCTTTACCAAAAAACGATTTTAAATTTGATTAAAATTCTTAATTATGATGGACAAACCTTAAAAACAGTATACTGATCAAAATACATCAGACACAAAGGGACAATACAATACATGCCCTATCTAGATTAGGGAAATGCAGAAACAAAAGTTTTGCTTGCTTGCCAGAGGCTGTGGGGACGGTAGAATAGGGGTTACTGTGTTTAAAAGGCACTGAGCCTCTTTTTAGGATGATGGAAACTCTTAGAGCCAAAACTCTCACATGGTGAGAGCCATTAATGCCACTCAACGTGCATTTAAAAATGGTTAAAATGGCCAAATTTTTAATTAACTTGTTTTAAAACCAGCAAAGAATGTAGGAAAAAAAACACCGTAACAAAGTTAGCCATAAAAGGATAAACTGACACCAAGCGCCTCCAGGTGTAACTCTGTGAAGAGAACACATCATCACCTCTGTAGCTATATCACCAAACTCATGAACCAAACTGACTACAAGGCAACAATCAGACAAACCGAAAACAAAGCTCATACTACAAAAACACCTCCTGTACTCTTTAAAACAATTATGGTCATAAAAGACCAAAAAAAAAGCAAAGAAACAATTCAAAAGAAAGACAACAAAGATGCATAGGAGTTCCTGGCTAATACAAATGGTTTTTTGTACAACTCACTCAGCTGCTAAGTGAAAGTTTGTAAGTCACCCAGAGGTGACTTAGAAGATGAGTGATTTACTTTTAAAAAATTAGTCATTAAAACTCTTATGGAGCACAGTTCTACGTTGACATATATGGCTTTACCATGAGTTGGAGTCAACTCCATGACAACTGGTTAAAGATATAAGACAATTAAATATAATGACATTTCTAGACTGAATTCTAGATCACAACATAAAAATTGCTATAAATGCCTGAGCCCCATCCAGAACATTCTGAGGTGGGACATTCCCACTAAAAAGGACAAGCAGACCAGCCAGAGCAACAGAAGATACATCTTCAAAGAAGGATCAGCAGGAAAAACCCAAAACAAAAATGGCAGTATGACTAGTTACTACAAGCATAAGCAAGTTGTTCACTGGGAAGCCATCAAGGCAAGCAATCAAGTCCCTTCAGGACAAACCCCGTTCCAAGACTGAAACTGAAAGGGAACACATGAGGAGGCACGTAAGCTTGCTGATGACCACATTGGTCTACTGGTGAGTGGAAGAGGGGTAGAGGCAGCAATGAAGAAATGGGCTGAGTTCAACCACGTTCCATAGACTCCCATTGACCTGGAGATGAGAGCGAGAAGAGGAAGGGAAGGGCTGGTTGGTCTAACGTGTGGTGAGACCTGGGGACACCTGAGCCTATGGACAAGGACACAGCCACAGAGAGCTCAAGCTGAGAGTGAAGCATCCAGCTGATATGAAGTGAGGGGAGATGCACAAGAACACCCAAACTTACAGATTATACCCATTTGACCTAGCCTCAATGACTTGTTAATCAGAACTCAACCAGAGGAAGATAAAAAAAGAAAACAATTCTTGATAAGGAAACGAGGGTAAATTGCTACAATTTGATGAACTTGACCTATACTTATGGAGGTAGTAGCTCAAAATACCAACAGACAGGGAAAGATTCTTCATATCAAGTATCAATGCTATCCCCTCTGTACACAGGGTAGATAGGGATAGGCAACTTAGATACTGGCTACCTAAAATGAGTGGGTGATAAAGGCAGGAAGTGACTGGATTACAAGGTTTCAAGAGGGAGTTTAGTTTAAGAGTGTGGGGGAAGACAGACTCCCACTGAATAGTTTTCATCTTGTCTTGATGGATCTGGTGAAAAGAGATGGGGATAGGGTTCTTATGACTCAATAGTAATTGTTATGACTGACTGCGACTGTCACAATTGTAAAAGAAGTTTTGTAACAAAAATGGGGGAGTAGTTAATCTTACAGTCCAGTAACAGAGGACCCTAGGACCATTAAGGGAGACGAGCACACAAGCAGCATGCGGGACCCTATCCAGAGATGCAATGACACCAGAGATGGAGGCAGAGATGGGGACATAGAAAGATAGAGCAGCTAAGGACTCTAGATTCGTGGACAGAGAAAAACTGAGTGCTGGCAGCCAGGAGGCAGGCTTGCAGAATGTGTTCCTTGGTGGTTTAAATTATTTTATATACCTAAGTGTTTGTTTTTTTTTTTAAATAGCTAAAATGAATGGAGAGAAATACTGTTAACTGATGGTACAAATGTGCCCTTTGGTGGTTTAAATTGTTTTATATACCTAAGTGTTTTTTTTAAAAAAATAGCTAAAATGAATGGAGATATATACTGTTAAGGGATTATAATCATTGTAATGAAACAAAATATATGATTTGTTGAATGTAACACTGATGCCCTGTAAACTTCCACTCAATTCACAATAAAAACTTTAAAATGAATACATTTTGTGATAAAGGGTAGTACTAGAACAACTAGTAACATTTGAAAAGGAACAGTATACTTGATAATACTACTGTAGCAACCAAAGGAGCCCTGGAGGCATATTGGGCTATATATATATGCACTGAGGCAGCTAATCACATAAGTCAGCAGCTCAAGTCCACCAAGCATTCTGCAGGAAAAAAAGCTGAGACTTTCTTCTCCTGTAATGATTTACAACCTCAGAAATCCTACAAAGGGTTACTATGAATTAGAACTGACTCACCAACACACAACCACCACCACCACTGTAACAATCTACCACTTGCATGTCAGTTTGTCACTCTGTGGTGGCTTCTGTGTTGATATAATGCTGGAAGCTATGCCATAGGTATTTTAAATACCAGCAGGGTCACTCCTGGTGTGGTGCTGTGGGTTAATGCGCCAGACTGGAAAGCTGTTTGAACTGCAAGGTCAATGGTTCAAGCTCACCAGCGGCTCCTCGGAAATCCTATACAGGGTCGCTATGGGTCGGAACTGACTCAATGGCACTTCACAACAATAAGGGTCACCCATAATGGACCAGTTTCTGCAGAGCTTCCAAACTAAGATAAACTACAAAGAAGGAGAGATGGACTACTTCTGAACGGTTAGCCACTGTAACCCTTATGAATAACAGCAGAATGTGGTCTGATATAGTGCCAGAAGGTGAGCCCCTCAAGTAAGAAGGCACTCAAAATACAACTGGGGAGGATCTGACCTTAGTGGGAAAACCTTTTAGACTTTCATTTACTGATGGGGCACAACTCAAAATGAGAAGAAACACCTGCAAACATCTGTTAATAACTGAAATATAAAATGTGCAGAGTATGAATCTAGAAAAATTGGAAAGTCATCAAAAAATGCAATGCAATGCATAAAGATTTATAGGCATTAGTGAGCAGAAATGGACTGGTATTGGCCATTTTGAATCAGGCAATCATATGGTTTACTCTGTTGGGAATGAGAAATTGAAGAGTACTG